ACGATCTAGCTTGAACACTCCACTAACTGGACCAGAATAGTTCTGATTCCCAAGTGGAAACCACCTAAAAGCAGAACTCAAGAATCTGGAAGACTCCATTTATAACCTGGAATGGGAATCCATCCAACGAAAAATGAGGAAGCACCGGAACACCTCATCGGAGATGGAGAAATAACCTCTGTAAAATCGTCTCAGATACTGGCATTTCTCAAAGCCCTCAGTGGGACACAATAGATGTATAAGATCGCGGTTAGTTCCCCTTCCCATACAATTTACAATCTATATAACATCTTGGTAAACACAAGATGTTAATTCCTATTAAAGAAAACACAAGCAGAGAAAGTGCTGAATTCATTAATAGTCTGTGAATTTGGAGAATTCTTGTTTGTGTTTAATGTTAAGTTACTTTTATCAGCCAAAGTATACTGCTATTTCATTTCTGCATCAAAGATTGAAGTAATTTAAAACAAATACACTTATCCTGATATGCTAGAAGATTGTCAACTTGCAGGAAAGTTATACCTTCACGTAAAATAGTAAAACTTCAGATACTCCAACTGGTGTTTATGTTTGGTCTCTTTCAAAAGTTTAAAATTTCTCTATTTCCTATTTATAATATGTTTACTTGATAAGAAACTTGGAAAAACATTTAATTAAATTAAATTTACTTTTCGACAGTACTGTTAATATGTATTTAGAAGCCAAATTAAGTATTTTTCTTAATATTTTGATTTTTAAATAATTTTGTTATTCTGTCATTCATATTTTCCAGGCATTTAATAATTGAATATTTTATAGTCCTAGACAATTTATTTAAAAAAATATAGACTATTAAATTATTCTAAATTCTTAAAAATATAATATAATTTTTTAATTTTGTTCTTAATTTTCTGCGTGATTGGGTATTGAAATTTAATCATAAAATTAATAGTTAATATAATCTAAATTAAATCCTAATCAGTCAGTTCTGCAGTTCATATTTCCCAATTAATATTGTTGGGAAGCAATACTTTTGTTTGTTGTGGTTTTATTGCCATACAAACCTTTTGCGTGTTGATGTACAGTGGCATTGTTATTTGAAAGTTCTCATGGAGTAATTGGAATTACTAAAAAGATTTGAAATAGGGGATCAGGTAAGGCGAAATTTAAGTTATAAAATTGTAAAATAAGCTTTTAGAGAAACTTGCTCTTAGTGAAATCGGATACTCATCCTACGACAAACTTGTTGAATATCTTATGAACTTGTGCTGTATCCTGGCATATTGTATAGTCCTAAATTTCTTGAAACTTCGTTATATTAAACATTTTTGTGCAGAATTTCCACATAAACTTTTCGAACTTTTGGATAAGCTTTAAGGGGCTGTTAACCCTTCTCTAACTTTATCATCCATCATTCCTTATTGTTTTCTAACCTTTGTTTTAAATCTGAATGTTAAGTCCAACTTAAAGTTGAGTTATGTCAGCCATAAAAAAGCAAAATGCATATTTATTGTCAATGACATTTAAAATGGAGGGATGTTAAGTATTTTTAATTTTAAAATCATCTTTCTTAATGTTGGTTTTTCGAATGGATACATTTCAATATATTTATAATTGCATATTTAAAAAAATCTAACAATTAAAAATTACAGGTAGACAAAGCTGGTATATACATCTATTACATTATAACCTTAATTGTCAGCAGCGTTGTTACAAGGGCAAAATTTTTTGTACTATAAATGGTGTCGAAATTGTACTTTTTTAAGTGGGATTGTACATTTTTAGTGCAAAAATGTGGGGTCATGTGATCTCTCTATTTACCTTTTTACCAAGTTTTGGTACGTGCATCCACACTATCCTAAAAACAGCGGAACGGCGTATTGGCTTAACGACCTTGAATCGATTTCCTGCAATTCTATTGGCTGAAATTTTTGCCAGGTGAATTTGACAGATAAAATTTCTGACAGATGAATTTTTCAGCCAATAGAATTGCTGGAAATCGATTCAAGGTCGTTACGCCGATTACACCGCCGCCGATCCGCTTTTTAGGATAATGTGGATGCACCCCCACAGAATTATACACCATATGCTGTCCTCCTTTCACGCAGTTGAGCAGCTCTGAACTGTTCAAGAACGCGATACTCTCCTCCATTCAATTGAGTCATAAAGTTCAGAACTGGTTCCGCGCCATATGGAGGCACCAGGTTATCTCTCGCACAGCTCCTTTCAGAACCGTTCTGAGCAGCCCAGGGCGTAAAGCTCTGGAACTTGAAATTCGCAAATGGAGGACAGCAATACAGTAGCTACAAAGAGCTTTGAATAGCATTGGTTAAATGGGAACTAATTGCGTGACGTCACGTTTTGACGGGACACAATAGATCTCTAAAAGTCGCAGTGATTAGCCCCCTCCTACTCACCTCATGGATATCAAACTTACGTTCGACATCCGTGCGGCTTGAACAGCATTTCAAGTGATGTTAGTGATGTATAATTCTGTGCCTCTGCTCCTAGCAACCTGCATTTCAAATCCACGCATCGCGTATCACCGTTCGTCTAAAAATATGTACGTGGGTTTAAGTTAGAGGTGGGTTGTGAAATCGCAGTCCGCTACTTTGTCACAGCTCCACCAACGTCGCAGTATGTGACTGCTCCAGTTCCAAGAAAATCGCAGTGACATTTCGGAGCAGTTTACAAGTTTAGGACATCTGCGCTCGTGAGTAGCAATAGGAGCAATAGCAGGCAATAGTGTAAATTCTGAAAATGCTCCTAGCCCCGTCGCCCGGTCAGACTGTTCCAGTCACAGTCGTCGCAGGTCGCAGTCGATTGGAGCATAGTATATTGAGTATATTCTGTGTACTGGAGCTGTTGGGAGTTTGGGAACGGGAAACGTAGCAGCGTTCGCTTTTTCTTTCATGAATCTAAATAAGATATTTATGTATTATATATTAATCACAAACAGATGTTTTTGACAAAGGTAATTTTTAACTTGTTAGTATGTTTATTTGTTAGTTAATTTTGTATCTGTGTTTTGTTGTATATCCTAAATCTTTTATTTGATCTTATACATTCATATAAGTTTTATTATTTATATCTATTTTTAAGGTCTGATGATGGCTAAATAGCCGAAACCGGTCACTAATAAAGATTTTTTTTGACAGTTTCGACTTTGAATTGAATATAACATTAAGTTTTTACCATGGGCCACCACTCTGTGAAAATGAACAGACTCTTTAAGATATTTATAGCAAAGTGCTTGGTACTTAGAAACACTCAAATTCTTCTGAATAGACTAAAAAAATATAGCAACATCTATCAAACTAAGACATCAGTATAGTACCGTACAGCCGCGATTTTAAGAGCTCTAGGGGCCCGTAGTTCGGAAAAGTTCGAATCTTGTTTGCAAGGGCCCTGGAGGCTTGGGGCCCGTCGGTGACTTACCCCGATTGCACAGACGTTAAAATCGCCACTACTGATCGAAATAAAAAACGGCGTCCAGGAAATGACAATCGATAACATTCCCCATAAATTTTACATATAAAATGCCAGCAATCTTCATTTCATAGCTATCGCTGACGCCGTTTTTTTCGATCATACGATATAAATAAATAAAAACTAGACGATGATGTTGCCTATTATAATCACACCTATAGTCCTGTACTTTTTTAGTAAATGCAACGAACGGTGCCGAACACCGAGTGCGATTTTTCGGAGCAATTAACCTATAAAACTACATTTTTAATTTATAGGTTAATTGCTCCGACAAATCGCTGCTACTTGTCACAGTGCTTTTATTGGAGCAGTCGCAGAGCGTAGCAGCTCCACAAAAATCGCAGACTGGCCCACCTCTAGTTTAAGTTTGGGTTTGAGAAGTAAGAATTGTACATTTTTTTTTGCAATTGTACTTATGTACTCCTTGACTATCAAATGTACCCAAAATAGTACAATTGTACCTATTGTAACAACACTGATTGTCAGTAAGACAGAACAGGTAGTTTATAATAAGCATTGCCACATTTTGTTTACTATCTCGACATTTTTTACGTAAAGTGCACAAAAAATCTAAGTTGACTTATTTGAAAGTCCATTCTTTCATGATCCTTATCCATTAGACACTGATAAAATTTACCTTAACATCTATTTATAATAATGGCCTTACATTAACGTGATTATTCCCTTATCTAGTATTGGTTCAATCATCAAATGCATTTCGTTTAATTAAATTTGTCAGAATGACATTCCGAGACATAAAACATCTTTTTCCCTTAGTATATACAGAAGCTTAAAGTACGTTTAAAAGAATTACATAATGATGTTTCCAAAAATAAACGCTTTTTTTTAAGAATTTTTACCTTGCCAAAGATTAATGTGCTTAAAAATTATATCACATACGTTTTGCTTGCTTGCTTTCAAGTAAATTTCATTTAGAATTTACAATCCACCTTAAATCTCTTTGACGCTGCTTTCCAAATTAAATTCAGAAGTTTTCAAACTTAAGATTAACGTTTTTTTTAATATATTGAGTTATTTTGTTTCTTATCCTGTACCTCAAAGGTTTACGTGTAAGATTCTTAAAATTTTCACGAATATTATAATAAAAAAATCTTTAATATCAGAGTAGGTTTTTTTAATATAAACTTGAATTTTACATGGGTGCTAACAACTGAAGAAACCATTTAAAGTACAGGTTTTCATTTAAACGGAGAAAACGAAGTCTGTTTATTTTTAGATACACAATTTGGTAGACAGAATATCGAGTAGATGTAAATCTCTAGCTAAAAGTGGTATTTTGTATTAGTAGGAAGAGAAATACACATATTTTTAGACTTTTTGAAACACTTAGTTATGATTTTCTTTGTTTAACAAGAAGGATGTTAGGCAGATGAGACCGACACTAATAATAATACGCAAGTTTTAGTGTATCTTTCAGTCTTTTATGTGATTATTTCCATTTTTCATGAAATAAAACATAAAAAGATGTTTTTTTTGTTGTTGTTTTAACAAAAACATATATTTTATTACTGTCGATCTAAAGTATATCAGTGGGTTGAATTGAATCCCCTGTTCTATTAGCATCAATAGAGCAGGAACTATACGAACATTCACCTGAGCAGTATGAAACACAAAAGTAGCAAGAACAACGTAAAATCCATAGTTATCATTGGAGCCAAGCTGTGCTGCATGGCAGCTGGAGTTTCTCCTTGAAGCACATGAACCAAAACACTAGCTGCATCGGATGAACTAGGGGAACAAGTGTAGTTACCACTGTCTTCAGGTGTAGCCCGGGAAATCAGCAGTCGGCTTGTCCGAGTTTGTTTTTCTGTAACAACGCTTATACCGCCTCTTTGGGAGTAGTTGATCACATTGCCTCCTCTGTACCTGAAACAAAAAAGAAACTTTAAAGCTCTTTTCTTCTTTTTTCAAGATTATCTAGGTTTGTTTAGTTTATCCAGTTCTTTGATAACAGTTGACCACGTTTACTATTTCGCTGAGAGTTCTGAAAGTATGCAAAAAACGAGCATTTTTTCGAGTATACAGATGCTCATGAAAATTGGTGATTTTTGTCATGCTACCGATTTTGCTAAAAATGCTGTTATTTACTAATTAAAAGGCGCATAATAAGAAAATATAGGTGATTGTAGTCTTACAAAAAGATCAAATAGATATAGGAGATATTTTAACCTTCATCAAAAATAGCAGTATAACAATGGTCCAAAAAATTAATTTTCACACAAACCCAAGGTACCTAAACCTTCAAAGGTATATATTTTCCAAATCTACATAAAATTTCCTACAAATACTGAAATTTTAATAATTTTAGGACTATTTTTACTATTTTTGTAAGACCTTTGAAAATGAGTAAAAAAATAGCCAAACTTACTTACTTACTAAATAAAAAATAGCCAAAAATGGACATTTTTTCGACTTTTTTCTGTACATACAAGTCATGAAAATTTTCGATTTTCCTCATGTCACCGATTTTGTTAAAATATCTATTATTTACTAATTAAAAGGCGTAGAATAAGAAAATATAGGCCATTGTAGTCATACAAGTACATAAAGCATAGTAGAAAAACAATGGTCCAAAAAATTAATTTTCACACAAAGCCAAGGTTCCTAAACCTTCAGGTATATATTTTCCAATTCTACATAAAATTTCCTACAAATACTGACAATTTCATAATTTTAGGACTGTGTTTACTATTTTTCTAAGACTTTTGAAAATGAGTAAACAATTGCAAAAAATGGACATTTTTTCGACTTTTTTCCATACATACATAGTCATGAAAATTTTCGATTTTTCTCATGTCACCGATTTTGTTAAAACATCTATTATTTACTAATTAAAAATCGCAGAATAAGAAAATATTGACCATTAACAGTAATATATATAGGGACCGTTTTAACCTTCATTAAAAATACCAGAAAAACAAGGACCTAAAAAATAATTTTCTAACAAATCCAAGATACCTAAGCCCTTCAAAGATATATATATTTTCTGAATCTACATAACATTTCCTACAAATACTGAAATTTTCATAATTTTAGGATTATGTTTCTATATTCAAAAAATGGGCATTTTTTTTGAAAAATCAAAATGGGTATCTTTTATCCTGAAAGTCCGCAGAATATTAGTTATTACCAAATATTAGTTTTTAAATGAACTTAACATTAAAACTTTAAACGATATTCGAAGTACTTCATATTCATTGTGTACCTATTGAAAAGTTTTACTTACATGGTATAAAGCTGAAGGATAAAAAACGATGAAATTGCGGTAATAATAATGCTGGAAATCGTATAAAACCGCGGGAAAACTTTTAAAACGACGAAGTTTCACGACATCAAATGAATATATTTTTTAAACTATCGCATTCATTGAATAAAAAAATAGAAACTTCATTTCATTAGCCTCGTTTCATTATTCAAGTTACAATGCTCTATCCTAAACAAAAAATGCTGCTTTTCTGCTCTCTTTAATTAAAGAAGAACGATCAAAAGCTCAGTCTTTACATTTACAACAATTAATAACTTTAATAAAAAAAAACTTTGTAATTGGATGTTTTTGATCTTTAGAGAAAGCAGCGAGATATAAATAAAGGTGAAAAACCTCTAAATGAATTGTTTTTTGATATACATCTTCCCTTGTTCGTTCTTACGCCTTTTAAATAGCCTAAACAGAAACGGTTTTGAGGAAAGGCAAATTGAGCTACTCGTTACATTATGCAAAAGCAATGAGACTGGATCTAAACGTTGTTGAAGGTTTGCCTTAACTTGAAATGTCAAAGAGAGCATTCCTTCTTCCTTTAATATCTTTTTATACGGCAAGTACGCTTTAATGGCATCATCTAAAACAAATTTTGAAAGCATTATTCTCGGCGCAACCCGACTTACACAAAACAGCTATAATTTTGCGGTTTCAAGAACAAAGAATGGTGGAAAAGATATATAGGAAAATACTTCAAGTATAGTTCCGTTTAGTTTCAATTTAAATTAAAGGGATTAAGAAAATAATGTACAGGGTGGCTCCTCTCATACGCCGCGGAGGTCCCAAGGAGAACGACAGTTTGTATTAAACTTTAAACTGGTTAATTCAGAGCACTTTTTAAAAATATATAGAGTTTTACAGGGTGTCCCCAAGAAAAGTTACATATCAAAGTTGTGTTTTTTGTAATGGAACACCCTATATATTAATTGATTTTCAGATTCTGGGAGAAAAAAATATAAGGTTTTTGACATATTTAAAATTTGTGTGCAACACCGGAATAATATACTGGGTGTTCCATTTAAAATAAAGGAGTAACTTGCTTTTAAAAGTGACTAATGTTCCATATTAATTTTGTCTCACCCTGTATAACTTTTCGGGTCAAATTTCAATTTGGTTTAATATACAATGGTTACTGTAATTAAATATCAGGCTATACAGGGTCAACTAAAATTTAGGTAGCTGTTATCGAAATTTAAAATTTACTCTTCATTTTCCCAACATATGAAATATGTCAATATCCTTAGATTTTAGGTATATGCTTCTTTAATAAAACTAACCTTTATTTTTTTCCTAGAATCCGAAAATCAATTACTATATAGGGTGTTCTATTAGAAAAAACACAACTTTCATATGTAACTTTTTTTGGGGACACCCTGTGTAATTCTATATCTATACTAATATATAAAATCCTTAAGTGACTGACATACTGATTAATCACGATCCTGCTCAAACCACTCAACGTAAGAAGCTCAATTTTGGCATACAGGTTGATTCTAGGGTGTGGTTCGATAAGAAGGGATTTTTCGAAATTCCAGTTCCAAGAGGGTGAAACCACCCCTCAAATATTACAATATTTTTTATTTAAAAAAGGTCAAGTTTCCGAAAACACGGTTAAACACGTATATTTTATTTTGTTTTTTTACATATTTTAAGATTTTTTAAAAATGTATACAGGGTGTTTCGAAAAATCTGGTCACTGATTAATCACGATTCTGCTTAAAGCGTTTGACGTAAAAAGCTGATTTTTGGTAAACAGATTAACTTTAGGGTGTAGAGGTTCGATAGGAATGGATTTTTCGAAACTCGAATTCTAAGGGGGTGAAACTATCCCTCAAATATTAAAATATTTTTCATTTAAAAACTGGTGAGTTTTTCGGAAAAACTCTTAAACACGTATATTTTATTTTGTTGTTTTACATATTTTAAGAATTTTTATAAATTTATACAGGATGTTTCATGAAATATGACCATTGAATAATCACGATTCTGTTTAAACTGCTTGATGTTTAAAGCTGATTTTTGGCAAACGGATTGACTGTGGGGTGTAGAGGTTCGATAAGGAGGGGTTTCTCGAATCTCAAATTCCAAGAGGGTGAAAACGCCCCTCAAATATTACAATATTTGTTATTTAAAAAACGGTTAGTCTTTCGGGAAAACGCTTGGACAAACAAGCATAATTTATTTGGTTTTTTTACATATTTTGAAATTTTTTAAAAAATCATACAGGGAGCTCCAAAAAGTTGGGTAATTTCTTAACCACGATTCTGCTTAAACTGCTTGACGTAAAAAGCTAATTTTTGGCAAACGGATTTTTCGAAAGTCAAATTCCAACGAAAAACTACCCCTCAAATATTACCAAGTTATATAATAATATCGCCATATTGTCTTTTCTCATGCTGACATAAATGTGAGAAAATTTTAAGTGATTAATTCGACGTGAACGAAGTCGCTGGTACACGCTAGTATTTTTATAAAATGCTTTCAATTAAACTACATATGCTTCCAAAATTTCATTTCCACATAAACTACCGTTCTCCTTGGAGCTTCCGCGGCGTATGAGAGGCGCCACCCTGTATATTATAGTAAATTATTATACTTCATCTTGAAGCGATAAAAATACCTACAGAAGTTGCAAAAAGGGAACAAGACAAAAAATAAATATTCTGTTTTTATACCAAGTTATTATAAAGACCTTGCTATATTTCATGTTAAACCTCTTATATAAATCAAAAACAATAAGTCAATGGGTCGGCTAAAGGTGGATGAATATTTTTTTGTTCCGCAAAAGACTTTAAACTTAGAAAGATCGTATAAAATTGTCCAAAAAAGGGAAATTTATATTCCCACCTGGAGCAAAGGTGCCTCCTTTAATGTTTTGACGCGAAACTCCTTTGTCTTTTCCTTCTTTTCAAGTCCGTATATCTAAATTCTCCAGATAAATAATTTTAGGTGAACATTTCCGAGACAAAAACTGACCAAGGGAGACCCATTTCGAAAGAATACCAATAGAGTTTATAAGATCCCACGAGGATAGAGTTATATCTTTCTTTGCGGCGCTGTCTCAAATTTGCAAGAGGGGAGTGAATTTTTATATATTGCGAAAAACAAAAAATAAGCCACATAGTTTTCGCATTATGTGGAGCCCTGTGGTTCAGGGACAGGCGTCAACTTAAAAACGTTTTCAATATTCTGCCTGCGCAAAATATATATCCGGAATTGCCGAATGGAGAAATCTTACAGCTGCATGTAACGGATTTGTGAAACAAATCATCTTTTGCCACTTCCTTTATTCTTGCGGGGTATTTCTTTGATATAAACTTTATTTGCAGATACATGGAGATCAGTTGTTGAGTCCAAAAATATTGACAATATGAAATAAGCATAACAGATAAATATATATATATACATAAAATTTAAAAATGGTTTACGAGGTGTGTCTTTTAAATTTTGCGAGGAGAAATGCATTTTTGCATTCGTTGGAACTAATTCTGAAAGCAGTTATTCCACTCGTTTATTGTTAGCCCACGGCCACACAGAAAGCGTTTTTAGCGTTTTGCGTTTTTTGCGTCTCAAGCGCTTTTTGCGATTTTACCGTTTTAAGCGCTTTTTT